TCAGAGCTCCCTTTATTTTGCTTCCAAGTCATTTGTTTTAAATTTAAGTTTTTTTACTCAAACTTCCTTCTTAAAATTAAGGTGTGTTATACACCATAATCTTCCTGTGCATGTTATACACCAATAAATACGGTAACTAAATAAAAGGAAACATACCATCATCACAGTACATGGCTGATTTGTGACACCATTTTTAAATCCTCCCTTTCGCAAAGATTATTCATCTTTATCCCACAAAATCCACAACATTATTGTGGACAAATGTCTCTTAACTGATTCTGAATGTTTAGTAAGATGAATTAAATCTTTCCAAATTAGATTAAAAGAGATGTTATACCCAAAATCCTGCATTTTATGTAGTGTATTCATTAACTGTTCCTTTAAAAATATTTCTAATTATTTGGAGTGTTCGGTCTAAATTTGGGATATTAGTGTCCTTCCATTTCTGGGCTATAAATATTTTTTCTGCCACTAGCATAATTCTGAACTTGTCTTTGTTTCTAATATTTTTATTTTCTCCCTGAAACACCAATAAAATACTTAATTGCTAGGACAGGTGGTATACAGATCTTATTTATTTTCCTAAAAATTTCTCAAAATGTTGGATCTTTGGGCAATGCCGCCAGATGTGTCAGTTTGTACGAATTATTAGATATAGTCCTCAAATTTTTGCTAAAAAAATTGGAGTATGATATGAATGAACTTTCCTAATCCTTCCAGAGATAGATCATAATGGTTTCTGCCTCCATAAAGCATTCCATTTTATATTCTCAATATTTTTTCCAAGCCCTTATTCCTATGGATGTTTTACAGCCTGAGTTTGCATTCTGGAAATCTTTAATAATACTGTATAAATTTTTGACATGCTCCTTTGGTATTTTCCTTTAGTACAAAAATTATTATTTCAAAGTCAGTGAGGGGGCATAAAGCTATTTTCTTTATATTTTCATCTTTAACAAATGATAGAATGTGTACATATTATAGTCAATTTAATCCTGAAGCATTAGATCTCTGACTTACTTCTATATCAGAAATCGTTTCTCCAGGTGTAAAACAGTCCTATAATCTATATAAATTTGCCTTTGTCCATCTCTTTTAGTTGCTTTTAAATAAAGATTAATGTCCCATTAGGGGCATTAGTGGGGAAGGTTATGGCTCTATATATGTTCATGTACTGGATTTAATACGACTGAAACAAATAGTTTCACCCCCTTGCTTCAAAATCTTTGCAAGATTTTTCTCTTGCACTTCTGAATTTGATTTCCTATTTTAACTTGCATTCCTTCTTTTTGTTCTGTAGGCAGTGATATGGTGGTGACTGAGCAAAGTGGCATTCACATTGTGACATCTCCCTATCAGATCCACTTCACAAAAACCCCCAGATATTTCAAGCCGGGAATGCCATATGAACTGACGGTAATAGAAATTGGAGTCTCCTGCTCTGTCAAAGAGTTACAATAAACACATTGGCAATACCTTCCTCCATCTTACTGGGCTTCCAAAGAGCTGTACAGACTTGGTTGTTCTGGATACATTTGGGGATAAGGAGGGTTAGCTTACCCTGGGGTTGGCACTGCCACTGTAGATTGATTGATTGATTGATTGATTGATTGATTGATGTTTGTACACTGGGTATATTGGTATAATGTATCTGCATAGAACTTACAGGGATGTAGTGGCAAAAAGCCTTAGTAAGTCAATAAACTGATTTAGATTCAGAGGAAGCTGCTATGTTCCATGCTGAACCACCTCATCTGGATTGTTTTAGGTGTATGTCACCAACCCTGATGGCTCACCAGCTGCCAATGTACCAGTGGTATCACAGACCATTCATGATGAGGCAACTACCTTGAACGATGGGACTGCTAAGCTCATCCTGAACACACCACTGAACATTCAAACGCTAGATATCACTGTAAGTCACTCTGATGTTCTGTTAAATTCCATTCAGTGTCCTGTTTGAAGAGAACAAAACATCTGTTGACTGGAATCCTAGTGATCTTTCAGGCTGGCACCCCTAGTTTTTTACAATGTGGTGTAAGGCCTATGTTTTTATGGATAAAGTTCAGGCCGAAACCATTATTACCACTTTTTGTGCCCTAATGCTACTTTGCAGTAGGATAGATTTCATAAATCTGGTATCATTCAATTCATTGTGCTGCACCACAACCATTCAAAATGATGAAAGCAGCATTACGGCTTTGCACTGCAAGCTCTGCCCTTTTTGGATATGAGTGTTATGTCCCTCTGCATATACAAAAGGAGAAGCACTTGTATCATAAGAGCACAGTGCTGTTTTTGTCTAACCCACTTTACCACCACCACCCCCCATAGTTGCTGCTCTTCAGGGCCGCTACAACCTGGTGTGTAAATTGTACACTACACAATGGTGCCACATGAAGGGAGGGGTGCCAGTTGCAGATTAAAAAGAAAGAGAAGGAGATACAGTGTCAGTAACATAGGCTCGCTCTCTTTGGGCATGCCCAGTCAGCCGCTGAGACCAGGGACAGAACCTATACTCGCGACCCAGAAGGCCCATGCATAATTTTCGCTGTATAATTAGATTTCATACATTTTGAATATTAAATATGTTTCTTGGGGGGGAGTGCTAAGTAGAGTTTTCCCAAGGGCAGCTTGGATGCCACTGGCAGCCCTGCTGTTGCTCGTGGGGGAACATCATGACGTTGCGATGCAAACTCTGTGCTTGGTGCACTTTTGTAGGGCAGTGCAACAAGTATGAAAGGCGAAGCAAGAAAGTATGCGCTGTGATGTCATTGTGCAAATTTTGCCATTGTAGAGTCATCTTGGCTAGGAATGGACACCTATATTTTATGCGTGCTTTGTGTTAGTCTAAGGGGGATCATTTTACATTGGTTGGTAGCTGTATATTTGGGTCTGTTTCTCTTGAGTTGAATGTAATATAATGTCAATCCTCCTTCATCTACTTTTCTTTTTTACAAGAATCACCAGATGATGCAAAATTCAGCTGATTGTAGTCTGCTGTGTGGTATGGTGATATTTATAAAAAGAAAGGAAGCTGGGGAAATAAATGCCCTTGTGCAGCTTCTAGTGCACTAGAGAAAGGTTTTTGTAAGGGTAAACAAATAGAAAATAGATCCCCTGGATAAATACCACTCAAAATAAAGTGATTTCTTCCTTTTTCTTTGTATTAAGAAATACAGATATTCCTTCACAGGAACAATGGTTCTTGCAAATGCTGAGTCCCTGATTTGACTTGGCATTAAATATCCAATTTGCTTTTTTGTAGCCAATTCATCATCCCATCTGACCTTCAGGCTGCAACTCACTTTGCCATTGTCTTGTTTTATCCAGATGTGCCCCCCACATCCCTCTTATCAATTTCTCCATTGCTTGAAAGTGAAAGCACTTATTGCAGAACTGAACCTGAGTATGTTAAGCCTGGTAACAGGATGCAATATATCCTTACGTCTTTACTTTCTGAACAACCGTAATATTCTGCTTTGTAGGTGCAACAAAAACCCAATTACAGTATAGCATTTGTAACACCCAAAGTACTATGGAGGTTCTTTTTTCTGAAGATGCAGATCACATAAAAGGGATCTCAGATTTTTTATGAATACAGGATGCTAGCCAGTTCCGGTCTAATCATTACTGTCTTCTTTCAGCAGTCTTCATGTGGGCATCACTAAGTGTTAGCCTTAAAAGGATTCATAGTTGCTTCATGATTGGGTTAATCCTTTATACTTACCCTGTCTAGGTTAAAACCAACCATGCAGACCTCCTAGATGAACGCCAGGCATCAAAATCCATGTCAGCCACAGCCTACCAAACCCAGGGAGGATCTGGGAACTACCTTCATTTAGCCATTACGTCTACGGAGATTAAGCCTGGAGATAACTTACCTATCAATTTCAATGTGAGGGGCAACGCACAATTGCTGAGCCAGATCAAATATTTCACATACCTAGTAAGTACTATAGACCTGGAGGAAATCCAGGGGCTGCATTTCAATTCGTCTTGTAGCCTTGAAGCTATTGGCTTAACCCATCCTTCCTAATCTTTCCATTAATCAGTATTTGTTCATCCTCAGATCTTGACTAAAGGGAGGATATTCAAGGTTGGCAGGCAAGCCAGGGAAACTGGACAGAATCTGGTGACCATGACTCTGCGCATCACTCCAGACCTCATCCCTTCCTTCCGGTTTGTAGCTTACTACCAAGTGGGGAACAGTGAAATCGTAGCTGACTCTGTCTGGGTGGATGTGAAGGATACCTGCATGGGAACGGTAGGTCAATCTTCCTACTGGTTTTCTTAGCAATGCTGGGAAACCCCTTGTTATAGCTGCATCAGAAATGCATAAACTAGATGTGGTTATTTTGAAGGATTTGAGTGGCATTTTCACCACAACAGTTCAGATACAAAAAGCCAACTATTTTTCCCCCTCTGGCAACAGCTGAACAGGCATTTTTTCTGAGGCATTCTTTGCTTTGTTTAAACAGCTGGTTGTGAAAGGAGCATCTGAAAGAGACAATCAAATACATGAGCCAGGAGCTGCAATGAAAATCAAATTGGAAGGGGATCCCAATGCTCGGGTTGGTCTTGTGGCTGTGGACAAAGGAGTATATGTTCTCAATAATAAACATAAGATTAGCCAAACTAAGGTAAGGGCAGACATTTCTTGACCTAGGAACACTTAGCTTTCAGAAGTTTTCTAACCTACAGATTACTAGATAGGAACATTTTTTTCTATTATGTGCACTAGATATGGGACACAGTGGAAAAGAGTGACATTGGCTGTACAGCTGGCAGTGGCACGAATCATCTGGGTGTGTTTGAAGATGCTGGACTGGCCCTGGCAACCAGCATTAAGCTCAACACCAAACAGAGATCAGGTATTTTGGGGATGGATGCTAATGTCTGGGGGTTGGCAGAGGTTTTCATGGGAAAAATCCATTTAGAAATCAAGACAAGAGCATTGGCTCCGTCAAATGCTACTGATATCATATGACCTGAAAAGTATGTTTCTAAAAAAAAAAGTATGAAGCACAGAATATTGGCCTTTGGGTTCTTGAACTGCATGCAACTGTTCCAACATCTTCCACTAAGCAGTTATTCAAATGTTGTCGGAAAAATGCCAGAACACTGTTTCTAAGGGTGGTTCTGGAGGACGGTGTTATAATGCAGGCATCCTACTTTATTCCTAGGAGATTAGGAGGGGTCCAGACACTGTAATCCTTCACTAGTATTTTCCTACTACTTTCTTCATTTTTATTTCTAAAAAAAATTCAGCAATACATGAAATAGCTGGAGATGTTTTTTGACTTCCTCAGCTGTGAGCCCTCCAACTCAGACCCCATGAAGAGTTGAGATATGCCCCCTCAACTCACTGCAGCTTCCCAGCTCCATAGTGCACTTTCTTTGAGCTGCTTTCCCTTAGCAGTGCTGGCCACTGGAGCTGGAAACAGAATAGATATAGATCCATGTAACACATAATTAAAGCTTCAGATTGCATCTCCAGTCTGTCTTAGATGAGAGGAAGTCCCACAGAAAGCAGCAGAACTCACTTTTCAGGAAACCCATGGTAAGATTAATCTTCGCAGGAATTAGTGCTGAATGTTATCTTCTTACTTTAAAGAATAATACTTTGTTCCTACCTCCTCTTCCCTGCCTCATTCAGATATAAAGTGTCCTCAGCCTGCAAATCGGAGGCGTCGCAGCTCTGTTTTGCTGCTTGACAGCAAGACCAGCAAAGGTATGTGACAAATAACAAAGTTTCTGTTTACTCTGAATAAAGCTGCAGTCCATTTGCATTTGTTGAATCAATCAGGAAATGGACAAAGGAGTATTACCCTTATTCAACTTGGCTGTGGAATGCAAATATTAGAAATTAATTGTCGGCACTTTTACGTAGTTTCCTCTTTCCTTTCTTTCTCAAGCAAGAGGGCAGAAAAATAATAATCTCTGTTAAAAAGGATCATTCTTATCTCACAAACAACCCTGGGTTTTTGAATTCTGAGTGTAGTAGAGAAGGAGTAATTAAATAACCCACTAGTGTAAATGTATAAGTGGTTCCAGCTAAAGAGGTCACATTTTACACACAAGTGTTCTAAGTGTTGCTCTTCAAGTATTCTTGGATAGCAGCACTGTTCAAGAGTTGCTCTTGGTGAGGAGGAAGTAATCAATGGCCAGTGAGCTACAAGCAGCCAAACCAGGAGCATCTGTGGCAATGCATGTGTGTCAAGATGATAGTTGCAACTGTACAATCAAAGCTCTGCCCCTTTTTATTTGCATGGGGCTTCAATCATCCGACTTCCTATGGACATCTCTGCCCCAAAGCCCTTTTGCAAATCATGAATCACCAGGGACATGGTCCACAAAAAGCAACAGTAGAACTCCAAAAACCGTCCACCAAAAAAGTATGGTGTCCTTTGTTCTGATAGAAAACCAAGAATCAATGCATTAACCCTCTAGTAAGCTTAAAACACAGATCATGGATTTATAAACGTAACCAAAAAAACACATTCAAATTAGAAGAAAAAAATGGATTATTGAAAATTCTGCCTTCCACTCCTCTGGTGATAAAATTAATTATTTGCATTGTTTTAAAAATTAATAAAGAATATAAAGGAAAAAATTAAGTTTGCCTATCTCTAGAGAGATTGGTAAACCTCCTGTGAAAGAGGCCAGAATGTAGTGGCAGAGGACATTTTCTGCATGTAGGTGTACAACTGGAAGCCCTCCAACAGCATTCAGTCCACAGAAGCCTTGGAGGTAAACCTCCAAAACCTCCAAAAATTCTTTTTGAATTATTACTTTTATTATGACAGAAGGGGATTTTTTAAAGACATATCTTTAGAATAATGTATAAACTATTTTTAATTTTAATACAGTGAAATCCAAATGAAATGAAATGAATTGGGTTTTTCCTTAGTTTACCCAATATTTTGGGGGAACATGTCCCCACCCCCACTCTCTGCATGCCATTCAAAGGCTAAGGGCAGCTCTTGGCCTGGAAGAAGTTGCCCAGTGCCAGTGCAGAACATCCAGCCCCTTAAGAAGTTGGCCATGCCTCTCAGCCAGAAATGAATTGATGGCTGGATTGGGATCATTATTCTCCTCAATCACACACTTGTTAATCCCTTCTCCTGCCCAAATGACCTAGCAAGGATCATACTTGGGGATTTTCACGACTCATGGAATATTGAAAGCACTTGGACTATGCAAGGTTGTAGAATGCCTTGGGTGAAAGAAGAGGAGAAACTAAAGGAAAGGGTCTTTGTGTGATTTAAAGACCACTTTTTCTTCAGGAGCTGATGGTGGCTTACTCCAACCTCCTATTAGCATAAAACACCTAGAGTGCTCCATGCAGGGGTTAGAGATAAACTGCAACATTTGATTGATTCTCAAACATAGAACATGAGTATTAGGCAAAACTGCAGATGCACTAATAAGCCATAAAGCAATCTTATAAAAATGACAATTCATAGTAACTACTGTAGTGAAAAGTCAAAGGATGTTCAACTGTTCCTAGAAGCTGGCTGGGACAGGATAAATGGAAACTCATTTGGATAGTTTAATTGGATATTCATTGTCTCCTGTTTCCTTTTATGAAAATGACTCTGAGAAATAGGCATTTTCTAAAGTTTCACTGTTTATTTTAGCGGCACAGTTTCAGGACCGAGCCTTGCGTAAATGCTGTGAAGATGGCATGCATGAGAACCCCATGGGGCACAGTTGCGAAAAGCGTGCAAAATACATTCAGGAGGGAGATGCATGTAAGGCTGCCTTCCTTGACTGCTGTCAATACATCAAAGGGATCAGAGATGAAAAGAAACGGGAGGATGAGTTGATTCTGGCAAGAAGTAAGTAGCAGGTTCTGGATTTATTTAAAGAAAGGAACGTTCAATACACAATACCTGGGCCATAGCACATAACAGCATCACCAAGGCTCAAAAACCCATTGGGAATATATTGTTATAATTATGTATTTATATGGCATTGTCGGTTATTTATAGTTCAGTTGTAGTGCAAAATACACCTGTAAATACAGGAGGAACATTAGAGCTTGGGTTGAGTGACATCTCACTGGTGGGGATCTCATCGTATCCAGCCTTCCCATTCCTGGGCTCTTTCAGTCCCCATTAAGGTTATGTCAACGTAGCATAGAGCCTACTCTCATTACATCACTGTTTTTAATTGAGCAGACCCCAGAGTTTGCTGCTTCCTCTCATAGCAACCCACCGCATTTTTTAAAACATTGCTGAGAAAAGACCTTATGGTTCAGCTAAAGCACCAGCAGCTTTTAGGGGAGTCTCAGCAGTTCAAGGATGCTGTCGGTGAAAAATGATTTGGAGGGCTTGTTGAGTGAAAATGGTGGCTTCACAGATCTATCTTCAGTTGTAATCTGCTTAGATATTATTCCAGTTGGAAGGATGGACTATAAATTAAAACCTTGATTTAAAAAAATGGGGTTCGAGAAAAGCTTGAAAAAATCAGGGGTGTCCACAGGCTGGTGTAAAAAAGGTCAAGATGGTGACCATGGTAGTGTGGTTAAAACTGTCTGTTTTTTATATGCAAAATATATGTGAACACTCCTGAAGAAAAGCGTGAAAAGAAGCACTGTATCAACTGTATTGTGAGAGAGCTACACTCTGAGTTAGCAAGAAGATTGGCGGAGGGTTAGAATTGAATATGACCTTGATTTTCCTTGCTTTGATAGTCTATACATGCAGGAGAATGACTAAATGAAAATCCTGAAAAGTTGTAATGCTTGCTTTCTACATGCACAGAAGTTTTAAGACAGGCTTTAAAAAGTTAATTGACTACCCAGATCTAGTACAGTCTATTCCAGCATTAAGGGACAATAATTCTGTTTCATGTATAAATGAGGTCTGTACATCTTATCATGGGAATAATGGGTGGAGTAAAAATTCTTTTTCTGGCTTTTGTTTTCTCTCTCTGATTGAAAATTTGTTGTTTCTTAATTTCATTTTATAAGTACATATATAATTTTATAAGTACATTCTCTATTAGAATGTAAAATAAAATAAAGAATGGGAGAAATAGTTGGCCATGGAGCATGAAATAATTACGTATTTATTCCTATCATGTTCTTGCTGCTACATCTAATTCACAAGAAACTATGTGTGATGGAAACAATATCCATCACATTATGTCACATTCTGTAATGATCTTAGCTTTCAACAAAGAAATGTTCAACATACCAGTTTGTATGTTTGGTACATCTATCAGAATAACAAGAGAGGAAAAGTATCCTTCGATTAACCAAAATACAGAGATACCTACTATTTTGCTACTTTGAAAATATCTGGCTACCTACCTCTATTTATCTGTATCAAAGGATGAAACAGAATTATCCCGTTCAGCCAGTGTTCCCATGAACAAGCATTTTCCCAAATAGATCTGAAAATGCATAGGTTGAATTGAATGTAGATTAATGAGATCACTTTGTTGACACAGAGCAGTGGAAATGCCTGATCAGTGATCTGTGTAATATAAACTGGGTCCTCCATTAAGATGCTTCCATATCAGACTTATGGTCTCAAATAGTACTGACTCTATCCACCCCATAAATATTAACCTCTCAGACAAGATAAGATGGCCTTTTAATGTTTCTTTTTTCTAGACCAGCTAGTTCCCACTTCTTGAAGCAACATCAGAGTAAGACATCATTCATAGATTGGCTGGGTTAACACATTGTGTTAACGCTGGTTTCGGCTTAGTATTTTGGGTTTCATAAAGAATGGTTTATAGCTTACTGCGATATCTGAATCTAGTTAATGATGGCTTATTTAATGAAGTATTGTTAAAGAAACAATAGCTTATGCCAACTTGCTTTCTATTTTCCAGGTGATTTTGAAGATGATTTCTTAGGAGATGAGAGCATCAGCTCAAGGACTGAGTTTCCGGAGAGTTGGTTGTGGCAAACGGAGCAACTGACCGACCTTCCTAACAACCAAGGGTATCAGAGTTCTGCTGTCTACATTAGCCCACTTTTGAGTCAAAGGCAAATTTAGTCACACAGGAATGTGGATGGTTTCTCTTCCACGAGGAAAGGATCAGAAAAGGTCCTGAGTGAAACTTAGGGTTTATTTTTCACCTCCCTTAGAAGGGAAAAGCTTTTGCTAATTTCTAAGGCAGCAACTTGTCAGTCATTCTGTCCTTTATTATGGTCAATGACCAGAATTCCATTTTAAAAACATAGACATTAAAACTTACAACATAAAAAAATAAAAATAAGCCACAATAACTAAATAATCAACATGATTGATTACAGTGGGTTTTACAAACAATAAAACAACATTTTGCTACATACAAAGAAACTGAATCATATTGGTCAGTTGTAATGAAACTGAACCATTACAACAACTGTTCATAAAATAAATCCGAACGATCCAGAAATTTAGTTAATAGGGGAATATAAAATGTGGACAAGTGTTTTTATAAAATGGGCACTGCATTAATACATGGATTTTATTTTCAACTTTTTGCCACAAGGACAGAGTCTTAAAAAATAAGGGATTTTCCCAAACTTTCCTTCAAGAATGGCTATTGGAAGTATGTTAAATGTGGTAAGGTTTAGGCTTTCCCAAATTTAGTAACAGAAATTTAGTTTTAATATCTTGCTGATCTAAAAAAGGGAAACTGGCTACTTTAAAAAAAACATATCTGGGGGGCTGACAAATGTAATTGCCTTTCTACATCCCTATAACCCATTGTTTAAGGCTTGACACCCCCTGCTTATAGATCATCATCAGTAATACGTCCTGTGAAAAGCCATAACTCTGCAACTTCTGATAAATTAATCTTAGCCAAGTTGATTCAAAGTTATCAGCCAGGATCAAAGGACCTAAGTCCACAGGAAAAAACAGTAGTTTCAACCAAAATGGAAATATACATTGGGATATACTGGTTTCCACTCTAATCGCACCACTTCACAATGGACCACATTAGCAGCAACGATGCATCTTTCCTCTTTGATTCTGCTAAATGGAGTATAGCAGAAGCAACAGGAAATGGTAGTTTTGGAGGAGGATGCTTTTTAGTTCTTGCTACCTGGACTAGACTGGTTGTTGTGCATTGTTTCCTATCACAGAGCATCTTTGGAAGCTATTAGTTAGAATCTAAGGGACATGCAGAGAAAGGAAATGAGACACTGAGTCATCAATAAGTTGATTTTGATGTTATGAATAGGTAGAGGGGAATTATATACCCAGCAGCAGTCAAATTGCATTGTCACATCTATTTCCCATATTAAAGTGCTTTCAAAATGAGTATTTTATTATGAAACCACTCTGTTACAAACATAGAATTTAATGGGGGAAGTAGCTGATGACACCTTCCATTCAGAGCCCTTTTGTGTTTCCCACTGTGTCTCAGATCTTTTTGTCAGGAAGGAAGGAAAGAAGGAAGGAGGGAGGGAGGGAGGGAAGGGGAAGGCTATATGATTGGTAGCTCAAGTGTTGTCTATTTGTTATCAAGTGCACAGTGTAACAGCCATGCACAGGAATGACATAACACCTTTCATTTTGTCCCTAGGATTTCAAGCAAGACAGTGTCTTTTTATTTGAAGGATTCCATCACAACTTGGGAGGTCCTGGCTGTGAGCATTTCACCCACAAAAGGTAAAGAATTATGAATGATGAAGCTAAAGATGGCAGGTGTGAAAAGCACCTAAAAAGCAAAGTAGAATTAATACTTTGACTTTTTTGTGCCATTGGTCTTCCTTGCAGGGATCTGTGTGGCTGAACCTTATGAAATAACAGTCATGAAAAATTTCTTCATTGATTTACGGCTGCCATATTCAGTAGTGAGGAATGAACAGGTGGAAATCCGAGCTATTCTGTACAACTATGTCGAGCAGGACATTGAGGTAAGCTTTGGGATTTTGACAAAAGTGTGGGTTTAGAAATTAGGAAATTTGCATGACTAGCGTTGCTGTCAATTCTTTGACAGCCATAGTTGTATGTAGTTCCATATCTAAACCACAACATTATCTGACCAATACAAAAGTGCCAGCGATGAAGGGAATTGGTGGGCACATTTGGCTAAGGCTGTTTAGATCAGAGTTTCTTAAACTTTTTGCTCTCAGGACCCCTTCCCACTTTTAAAAATTATGGAGGGCCCCAAAAGAATTTTTATTTGTATGGGTTATATTTATTGATACTTACCATATTAAAAATTAAAATTGATGCATTTGTAGAATATTTATTTATTGAATCATGTAAAAATAACAATATTTAGCGCATTAGGTATTAACAAATAAAATATTTTTCATGAAAAACCCTATATTTTTAAAATAAAATAGTAATGAGAGGAGTAACATTGTTTTAAATGTTTGCAAGTATCTTTAATAATTAGAAAATAATTTTGATTTTGTGGACCTCTGAGAGGGTCTTGGGGGACCCCCCTGGGGTCCTCGGATCACATTTTAAGAAACACTAATTTAGATCATCATCTATGCTTCATTTGTTTGTCTATTGAGAAGTGCACATCTTGGGCTCTCCTATTTGGGGGGCTTTCTTTGCATATTTATTTATTTACATTTATTTATTTATTTATATTTATTTATTTATTTATATTTAATATTTATTTATTAACTATTCTAACGTACTGAATTATTCACACATTCCTATTTCCTACCAGTCCATAAAGAAGGACAGGGAAGGATAAATTTGTATTTTATTATATGAAGTATGTGTTTGTGTGCTCTATGAATACCCCTCCTTCTCTGTGTTTTCTTCCATGTATCACAATGACTGACTCGCCTGTCGATTCAGGAATGGATCTGGTGGTGAAAACATTTGTACCACCTGTGGGAAAGCTGGATTTTAAATGATTCTCATGGCCAAAGCAGCATGGCGACTTGTCTCCTTTTCTCATTCCCCCAGGTACGAGTGGAATTGGTATACAACGCAGCCTTCTGCAGTGCTTCCACAGAAACACAAAGATACCGGGAGATGTTCGTTGTTAGAGGCCTATCCTCCAGGGCGGTACCATTTGTGATAGTCCCATTACAGCAAGGATTGCATGATATCGAGGTCAAAGCAAGTGTCAGGGGACAGTTGGTGGCTGATGGTGTGAAGAAGAAACTGAAAGTTGTGGTAAGTAACAAGTGGGGTTACCTTATGGCTCTTGGAGAAAGAGAGGCTGTAACCAGAAGTCACTGCAGATAAACACTTTTTACCATATTTATATCAATATGAGTGCACCCTCTATCTTCCCTCATTGCGATAGAAAGGCATTTTGATCTCAAAACTTTACTTCTCTGTAACGGCACAAAATGGCCCGTGTACCACTGTGGCTAAAATGGTCTAGTTTGCTATCCACCTTGGACTGTACTGTTGTTCTGAGTATCCTTTGAAAACTCCTAGAGTCTTGCCATAGCAAAATTTTGATGGTTTGAAAATGGCAGAATAGGGGCAGAGCTAATGTTTTGGGAGTTCTTTCGTGCAAAGTAAATATGCTCAGCCAGGCAATGTGCTTCTTTTAGTCCAATCTTTCTCCCCCCCATCCCTCCCCCAGCTGCAAAAAAAACCCCAAAAAAACCCCTGCCACACTAAACAATTAGCCTTTACATTTCACATGTACCATTGGTACATGCGTGTGGGACTTGGGCAGGGGGCTAGGATTGCCCAGCCCTGCATTAGCCAGAGCAAGAGAGATCACCTCAGGAAACAGTCACCCAGAATGGTCGACAGCAGCAATATTGCCAAAAAGAAAAATTGTGTGCCAGGGAGTTCCCTAGGCTAGTCTGCCCTCCTGGGCACAGGGCAAGGCACTGTGGGATTGCCAGGGTAGGCATGCATTTTCCGTCCTATCCCTGGACTGGGATGGGATGACATCTTTTGTCTTAGCCTATAAAATGCTTGCCCACCACAAATTCTAACAAATTTGATAACACTATTGAAGAGAAATATCAAATCAGCCATTTCAGAACCACAGCAGTAGAAGCCATTCAAATGTATCCATGCACAACAACCCAGTCCTAATTTCCACTCTTGTTTTGAAGGCTCTGCATTTAATTATCTTGGATAGCCTCAGCTAATGAGAACAAGGCTAACAAAAATGTGTGGGCAGGGTGCTTTTCAGTTTGACTTTTCAAAATGAAGTTTGGGGAGCAGAAGATTGGAGATCAATGGTTACAAATAGATTTGAAAATAATTGCCAAAGAATAGGAAGTGAGTGCAGATGGTCCCCTTCAAAAAATAATAATTCATACTGAAGACCAAATACTGTATAATAAAAATGCAGTACAGTATAAGACTAGCTGACATTAGTATTGCAAGTAGTGATCTGCTAGTTTCTGGTACTTGCAATCTCCTATTCGACCACAGGAAGGCATTCTTGCATTTCTTTATCCAAGGAAGTTTGGCAGATTTGCTAACTCAAGTTGACTATGATTACAAAACAGGCAACTCAGTGGTTGGAATCTGCATAACCCTTCCTTCCTGAACTCTTGGCTCTTTGGATCATCACAATCAGCTTCAGAGACTTGGCAAATCATCTAAAACAGACTTTAGAAGGGTATATCTGGAGATTGTTAGGCTAGTTGGGGATAATGAGAATGTAATCCAATATATCTAGAAGGTATCAAGTTGGGGAAGACTGAATAAATAGATGATAGTAGCAATGCTGCATATTTAGATTATGAAGGCATGTGTGAATATATTCTTTGTTATGACCAAAGACCAGCAACTTAAAAAAAACCTAAGCATTAAAATCAGTAAACACTATCTAATAAAACAATAAAATAAATGTTATCCCCCAAGAATATTATTAAGGGATAACAGCACTATTTAATATCTAGGATGCACATAGTATATAGTTACACAGCAGTACAGATCGATGAATGGGATGGCACAGGATTGTATTTCCTATAAAAAAAACAGTAAGTAATAACATTAATATTTAATAATAAATAATAAAATAAATTTAAAAAGGAAACAGCAGAAAATCAGAGCCCCCATGAATTTCAGTGATGTTTGCTTTGGAGAAAAATTCTTTTGGATGGTTACTGTTACTGTTATTTTTCTGGGCACACTATGGGGGGGGGGCCCTTTGGGACCCTCACCACTGACTTAAAAAGGAGAGGAAGAGGCTCTGTATAAATGCCCCTGGGAATTAAAAGTTTGCGAAGACATGGATTTCCTCATTCTACTACTCTCTGGATGTGATGGGGTTATAGATCCCAAAACAGATCCCAGAATTCACAATCACCCAAGTTGGAGTAAGCCAGAGGAGCACCAAGGCTGACCTGATTGTTAAATTGTTTCCAGCGGAGGAGGAGTGTTAGTCTTCTGCAGCAAAGGGCCCCAAAGCCTTGTGGCACCTTAAGGGCCGACTATGCTTTTATTGTCTAAACTTCATCAGATATGTGGAATGTCACTCTGTGAGAGGCAGGCCACATGCACAATGTACAGTAGCTGTTACTGGGGAGGTGGAAAGCATGAGAGAGGGATGGAGAAAAAGGTAAAGAAAAAGGGGAAGACAGTAAGAACCATCTTAAGTGACCATACTTGCTGTGACGCAGACATTTTTGCCCCCGTTAATCTGAGATAAGAAAGCTCAGGGCTTCCAGAATATCCAGCTACAGGATGGGGCAAGGACCCATTAAGAGCAGATGGTGGACTGGTGGATAAATAGAAATTAATCCTTAATAGAGGGCCACGTTGACTTGGCTACTGAGAAGATATGGGGCTGGCCTGTGTCTTTCCCCATTGTGCGTTCAAGGACAAGCTTTGTTACTGAATATCTCTTACATCTGTAAGAGATGCTGCAGGGGGTTCTTTGTGTTCTGTAATTGCCATGTTGAGATACATGTTGCTGTCAGGCATGATCTTTTTATTTGAAAAGAGGCTCTCATAAGGGATTATTCTGGTGTCTTTTTCTGTAACAGCCTGAAGGGATACGGAAAAGTATTACGAAGGTTATTGAATTGGATCCAAGTACAAAAGGAAAAGGTAAGCAACAGTCATTCTTACTCATTAATTCCCATTTTACTTTTTACTTAGTCCTGGGGATGGTGTCTTCCTGTTGCCTAGTGCTTTCTCCTACTTGCTTTACTGTTTCCAGGGAGAAGAGAGGATTAAGTTATTTTATTTTACAAAGGTTATGTGCTCACAGAGAATTATGTCCCTCCCTATTAAGTGCCTATGTGGTAATTATGTTGAATTCCATTTACAACTGATTTTTAGAAACGATGCCAAAGAGGCACTTAATGTGGAAGTAACTGGTATTTTTCTTTCCTTGTAATTTTCCACATTTTCTTTTTCATTTTTCAGCTGGAATCCAGGAACAAACGGTCACAGCTGAGAAATTAGATAACAAGGTGCCTGACTCAGAAATTGAAACCAAGATTACCGTCCTAGGTAAGAATAGTTATCTGAAATCCAGGCTCCTACATCTGTTGAACAGAGAAAGTGAAATAGCCACCAGCCCAATTCTTGCTGCAATCCACTGGCACTGGAGATGGACTCCTTGATAGGACAATATCTCTCTGTGCTTCCATTCCTGAACAGATGGAACATAGATCAGAGCCTTCCTTACTGGATTCCCAGGTACAATGGATTTATCCCACTTCAGACATTTAACTTTATTACATCTGCCCATCTGGTGAGATCAGACAGAGTGAGTGTGCTCCAGGTCCTGTTGTTTAAACAGTGTAATCTTGTGGGACCTAGGAAGCATACTTCCTCTGTTGTAGTGTCTGCCCTCTGGAATGACATTCTTCCCGAGATCCATACAACTCCAACCCTAGTGAATTCAGAAAATCATTTTAAAAATTGGTGGTTCTCCTAGGCCTTGGGATAGGGTATTTGTGGAGCCCTTATAAAAGTTTGTTTTTTTACTGGTATTGAGTTAGTCTTCTGGTCAGTTATATCTTTTTCTACATGTATTGTTTCTTCTTTTTAACTGTAAGCCACCCAGAGTTGCTAAGAAGTCAGGCAATCTTGAAATTGAATTAAATAAATAAAATAAATAAATAAACCTTCTGATTAGTCCTGGAACCTAATTACCCCCAGTCTCAATGCTCTAAAGGAAGGGTAGTGGAATGGAAGCAAAATTAGGGAAATCATTTGCCATAAAGCTATTGAAGCTTAAAGCAAGGTCACAAACCACAGAGCTTCTACACATGCTTGGTGATTTTTTCACATTCAGGTGACCCTGTGGCTCAGATTGTTGAAGACTCAATTGATGGAACTAAACTAAATCATCTCATTGTAACCCCTTCTGGCTGTGGGGAGCAGAATATGGTCACCATGACTCCATCAGTTATTGCCACCTACTACCTGGACACAACTGGGCAGTGGGAGAAGATTGGTGTAGATCGCAGGACTGAAGCAGTCAAACAGATCATGACTGGTAAGGCAAGTTTTCTCCAGACATGTTTTCCTCAGTGGAAGGAAATGTCAGATTCATTCATCCCTAAAGTGAACAAATGTGAGACCCACAGAAGCCAAGAAGAAGCCAAGTGTTCTTAAATGGATGGAGGGGTTCTTTTTTTCACAAGGTAGGCTTCTGCTAGTCTAGCTAAGGATGTCACTTCCTTGACATAGGGGTGGAGATGGTCATAGTAATTGCTGAGCAGTATTTAAATACAGGTAGTCCTCAACTTATGAACATTCATTTAGTGACCGTTTGAAGTTACGATGGTGCTGAATGGAGAAACTTACCATTTCCCTGCTTGGCTTCCCCAGAAAGTCAATGGGGAAGTCGGCAGGGAAGGTCGCAAGTTGCTGGGGTGTCTCCCCCACCCGTGCACCCTCCCTAGCCCCTCTGCCGGCCACTTGCACACCCCAAACACACTCCATGACCCACGTGGCACTTCCCGTGCACTCCTGCACACCTCCTTGACCTGCAGAGCACCCCTGCGCATTCTTCCTGACCCACACCACACCCCTGTGCACCTTCCCCAACCCACATGGCACCTCTCGCACACACACCCATGTACCCTCCCTCACCCATGCAGCACTTCTTGTGCATCCCCGTGCACCCTTCTCGACCCATGTGGCACCTCTCATACCCTCACACCCTTGCGCATCCTCCCTGACCCTCCCCTGCACCCCCGTGCACCCACTTACTCACCCCACTTACCTGCCTACCAGCCTGGAACTTGCAGCTTCCTGCCAGCTTCTCCACTGACTTTGGTTGTGGGAAGCCAGCAGGAAGTTACAAGGAGTTCCTTGCCTAACGACCAGTGCGATTCTGTTAACGACGGCAACTGGGACTGTAGGGATTGCCGTTGCTAAACAATGCAGTTGCGCTTTATGACCGCATCGCCTAGTGATGGAAATTCTGGTCCCAATTGTCGTTGTAAGTCGAGGTCTACCTGTATGGGCTCATGGAATTATCACAAGATTCTATTAAAAGGAAAGACATTTTCGTCGAAGGCTTTCACGGCCGGCATACGATGGCTGGTGTGGGTCTTCTGGGCTGTGTGGCCATGTTCTGGAAGTTTTGTTTCCTAACGT